ATGACTGGGTGTATCGTTTACCATTGTAGACCTGGTACATACTGGATTGAAGCCAATCTTCGCTGGCTTTGAGCACACAATACTTACTCTTTGTTCTGTGGTATTTCTAAGGTGTGTGTATGTGTGTGGTTCTGAGCAATACTGGGGACTGAACCCAGGGCCTTACACTTGGTAGGCAAAATTTTATTTTGAGACTGACTCTTGTTAAGTTACCCGGGCTGGCCTCCTGCATATGATCTTCCTGCCTCAGCCACCCAGTTAGCTGGGATGAAGGGCGTGTGCCACTGTCCCTGGCTTACTAGGTTTCCATAGAGTTGTGCTTGCCATGAACAACGTCCCACCCCACTACCCAGCCAGAAACAATAGAGGCAAAATGCGATCAAATAGGCCACTGTGCAAATCCCGCTGTGCAGGCTGCAGTGGTGCCTGCTGGGACTCCGTGTTCACCAGGAGCTGCAAACATTCTCCCCACCATTTGATTTTGTTTTTTTTTTGGTTTTTCTCCGGTACCAGGAACCGAACTCACGACCTTGCGCTTGCCAGGCAGGCGCTTTGCCGCTGAGCTAAATCCCCAGCCCCTCTCCCCACCATCTGAGATGAGGACAGCGGGGCTCAGTGCAGAGACCACTGAGGAGTGTCCGAGGTTCGGGGCTGTAGGTCGGCTGAGCATCAGATCTTAGCTGTCCAGGATTCACATGGAGCAGCAGTGTGTGTCGGGAGCCGATGAGCTTGACTCTTGATTTCCGAAGGGGCCGTTCAGTCACCTGCCCCTGGTTAACACCAGAAGCACATTTTCCCACAAGGCCCATAACGGCCCTTGGGCCCCAGGCTAGCCCTCGACTGGGCTGCAGAGCAGAGAGCAGCCCACCACGCACGGGCTTTGCGCCTTGCAATTCCCGCTGCACACCCCAGCGGCTCACAGCCGTGAAGGGAGCCCCGTGTCTTCTCAGGCCGATCTCATCGGGCAAGGTCAGCAAGCAGGAGCTGGGTGCTGTCACTGATACCCTGGGTTCGAACCCTGCCTTTGCCACTCAGTAGCTACAGCGATCCAGGCGTGTTGCCGAAGCACTCTGGACCTTGTTTTTACCACCTCCAAAATGGGGATACCAAGTTGGGCATGGTGGTGCATGCCAATGACCCCAGCACTTTGGGTGGCAGAGGCAGAAGAATCACAATTTCGAGTCTTGTGTGGGCCACTTAGACCTTGTCTCGAAAGTAAAAATGTAAGCTGAGTTCCCTCACAGCAGCCCACTGTCATGGAAGGTACTTACTTTCTTTTACTTGGCCCAAACTCACTCTGCAGAGCCTGTTTCTTTCCTACGTTTAACAAATGTAAAACTTTGCTATCTTTTTAAGAAGTAAAAAGTTAAAAGGGGCTGGGGATGTAGCTAAATATGATGTCCCTGGGTTCAATCCTCAGGACCACTAAATAACTAAATAAAATGGGATGCCGCTAGTACCTCCTTCATGGGGCAGTTACGACGCTTACACAAATTAGTACGTGTTGGGAGCCTCACGGCCGTAGTTGCTACTCTGCGCCATGCTCGGCCTAGGAGATGCAATGGGAACAAAACAGATATGGCTCGCTTCTGGAGCTTCCCTGGAGATAGGAGAGGGACACTGAGCTCTGACATAGGGCAGGGGCAGGTGGGGCGGGGCAGGGAACCCTTACGGAGGTGGCACACGAACTGGGTCTGAAGAGACAGTGGCAGGTACTGAGAAGGCGACCAGTGAAGACTGTGCCAGGTGGGAGGAACCATGCTTGCAAGGTCCTGTGACAGAGAATACAAGAAGACCTAAGAGAAACAGCAGAGAACAAAGAGAATGCGAGTGGAGGCTGCAGAGGAAGTCATCTTGGGAGCCGTGGAATCCTGCGTGGGCAGAGTTCCTGTGTTTGGAGCAAGGGAGACTTTCCTTTCTTATGTATGTACGAAGGGTAGGCACACCAAGATCTGTAGCTTTCGCTCTTCAGTTTTACAGAACGTGACCCATGGAGTTGGGTGAGGCAATGGGGCTGCACCACATCTGCAGCCCTATCGGCTCTCAGGCCTTTACTGGTTTCTTAACGTTGTTTTCCACTAGAAAAGCAAAGCTTCGTTTTCCAGACAAGGCAAGCTCAGAGAGACTGAGTGATTCTCCTCCAGACACACAGCAAGTGCCCGCTTCTCGTGACCCCGCTGGCCTGTGCCCACCTAATGATATTCAGCAGCCCTGGTTGGTGGCGTCTGGCCTGACCATGGCTCTGTAGGGCCAATGAGTGGAGGGATGGTGAGAAAGGAAGCAAGGAACATGCGTGACTGGTAATGTGGCTGCCCTGTCTCCTCACCGGAAGGTTGCTAGTTATTTGGTTATAAGTTTTTGGCTACTCTTGGCTGAATATAAGTTCTGTGTCCCTTTGGTCTCACCATTCACAAGAAATGGCTTCAGTTTCACTTAGATTTGCAAATCAGCCCTGGTTTACGATTTCCTTGATGGTTTTCCCTTGCTCAGTGGTGATTCTGTCCTGGTCTCCAGTTTAATTTACTTTATTTAACTTAATCCTGTTTCTTGTGGGGGACTAGTATTGGGGATTGAACCCAGGGGCCTTTGCTCTGAGCTACATTCCCAGCCTTTTATAATTTTTTAAAAATTTTAAACCAGGTCTTGCTAAGTTGCCCAGGCTGGGTTTGAATTTACAATCCTCCTGCCTCAGCCTCCTACAGTACTGGGATTACAGATGTGCACTACCACCCTTAGCTTTAATTTACTTTAACAAATGTAAATATGCCTTCACTGTCTCCATCCATTCCCCAGTTCCTTCTGGGTGTTTTCCCCAACATTTCTCCTGGGTTTGACAGCATTGCTTTGGTCTTTGAAGGCACTGTGGAGCACATTTCTGGGTTCCATTCCTAGAAACCACTTTGAATGCTCGAGTCCCACAGGTCCACGAGATGTAGTTTCATGGTCGTCACAGACAGCAGGAACCTGAATCTTCTGAGAAATATTTGCTCCTCTCCAAAGCAAAGCTAGCTGTTCAAGACCTGCCCGCACTGAGCGAGTCCCTTCTCCCACACAGAGCGTGGAGCTGTCGCCAGCGTCACCGCGGCCCGCACACCACGGCTGGGGCTCAGATGCAGAGCTTCTCCCATCTCTGGCCTTGACCCCAATGATAGAAGCTCCTAAGTGTTAACGTAGGCTCGAAGTGCAGGGGACATGAAGCGCGTGTGTCCTGAGGCTCTGCGGGTCAGGCGGCCACTGGATCCTGCATTGCGGTGTGGAAGTGACCGCCAGTGACACCTGCACACGAATGCGTGCTGACATCCCAACCAGGCTTGGCGTACTGAAGCAGAACCTTGGATTTCACACAATGGTCATGCGTGGCCAGACATTCTGACCGAAGCCGGGTGGTAGGCCAGGCGGCCCTCACCTCCACTGATGCATGCGTAGGCTGTGGCTCTCATAGGGGTCCTGGCTTCTCTGAAACCTGGAGGAGAGTGAAGCCAGGGCTCTTGGGCTGTCCCTTCCCCTGCTGGGGGTCTCAGCTTCCCAGGCGGGGTGGGTTTGTGGCCTCTTCTGGTTGTAGCTTCTTAATGAGGTTGAAATCCCGTGCTGCACCCGACCATTGAAAACAGTGTGCAGGAAGCGGGCTGTGACCTTCTGTCTGCGGCCCTGAGCACACACCCAGTGCAAAGCCACAGGCTGACCTGAGGTGACCATGCCGTCTTCCCCGCTGCTATGCTCCACCCAGGCTGCACATCCAGGCAGCTCTAGGGGTCATCTCAAGTGTCATTTCTCCTTGGAAGATTCTGCAGACAGTTGCCTGTCCCTCCTGCTCACCCCAGAGTGACGTCTACCACACTATCATAACACTCCATCCACTTGCTTACTCTCTGGCCTCCCCATCTGACAAAGAGCTACAGGAGGGCAAGAGCCCAGCTAGGCGAGGTGGCGCACACCTCTAATCCCAGCACTCAGGAGGCTGAGGCAGGAGGATCACTGCAAATGTGAGGCCAGCCTAGGCTAGATAGTGTGTTCAAGGACACCCTGAACTACACAGCAAGACCCTGTCTCAAAAAACAAAAACAACCAAACAAAAAGACCCCAGAGCTGTTTGCCTTGAGGTATCAGTGCATCCAGGTTGGGTGCCAGAGTTGACTGGATAAACCAGTTAGGAAGGAAAGATGAGATAAGCAGATCCTAGCCAGGTGTGGTGGCCACATGCCTATAACCCCAGCTACTTGGGAGGCTGAGGCTGGAGGACCACAAGTTCAAAGAAAGCTTGGGCAACACAGTAAGACCTTAACCCAAGATAAAATTTTAGAAGGTCCAGGGGGCCATATGCCCATAATCCCAGCACTTGGGAAGCTGAAACAAGAGGATGGCTGTGAGTTCAAGGCCACCCTGAGCTACATAGTGACTGCAAGGCCAGCCTGAACTATATAGTGAGACTTGGTCTCAAAATAAAGAAAGTCTGGGGATGTAGCTCAGCACCAGTGCATTTGCCTACCATGCACAAGGCCCTGGGTTCTATCCCCAGTACCAGAAAGAAACAAACAAGCTGATGAGCAGGTCTTGCCCTGTGGGATTTGTAATCCAGCTCCCAAGGGAGGCTCTGATTGCGGTTTAAAGGACGTGCTGTTGAGCCCGGAAGAGACACATGGGATTTGCGGGTCTATGTCGTGCCTGCCAGTCAGGCCCCTGTCCCCGTCTCATCATGGGTGAGAAGGGAGGGCCAGCCTCTCTTCCTGTCTTCACTGGCTTCCAGGGCAGGTCCCCTGCTGCCCCACTGTCATTCTCGTAGGGTGATGGCTCAGCCTCTCTCTGGGCGGGTCGCACCTCCCCAGGCCCCCTCCCCAGAATGTTTCCATGTGGTTTTTGGTGTTTTCACGGTTACCGAGAATCCAGATAGAAGCCCACAGGTGTCTGTCTCACTGTCAGCCGGTCCTGATCACCGTCGTCACTCGAGCTGTCACAAACAAGGGAGTGTGTGCCGTCACGTGGCCCGGGCTGAGTAACCACATTCTCGCTTCCTTCTTCCACACAGAGCCGTTGGGGGTTGGCGGGGTCTGAGCCACTGCAGAGGGTGCCACACAGTGCCCGGCAGTGTGGGCTGGGGCCTTGTCACTAAAGCAAAGAAGTCATTTCTAGGCCGGGGAGGCAGCTGTCCCATGCTCTGCTGAGCGCGGTAAGTGCTGGTTTGCAAAAACCATGGGGCGTGGCCGGGGACCCAAGGGACCAGGGGACCTGCCTGCCAGCTGCTGGTGGGCCTTTCAGAGGGGAGCTGCAGCCCCTTCAGAGGACAGACCAAAATCCGTGGTCTGTGGCTTTATCTGGCCTCTTCCGGTTCCTGATCCTTCAGCCTCCAGCCTGCCCTCTCTGCCGGCCTCCTCTGCAACTGCGGGGCCAGGGCATTCTGACCGGGAACTCCAGGAAGGTCAGAGAAAGCGAGGGCTCTTCCTTGGACACCATCCCACCCCTTTCTCTCCCCCAGAGAGGTGATGAGTGGTGATGAGATTTGCTTAGGGACGGAGCTGAGAGAGGGCTGGAGGGCTCCTGAAGGGAGGAGCCACTCGGGCTTATCCTGAAACTGCATGTTCGAGGGCCATGCAAATAGCATTCTTCGACATTTTTGTAAGATTGAGGAACTGGCACTTATCCAAGGCAAATCACTAAGATCTTAAGAATTGTGACAGTCTTGTTCGCCAAAGAGAAAAGAGAAAAAATAATCAGTAGAGTACTCTCGTGAATTTGCATTTGGGGCAGTATAGGAGAATGATAAAGGCTAAGGGCCAAAGCCGCTTCCCCATCTGTGGGCACTGGGGAATACACAGTACACACACTCACACACTCACACACTCACACACACTCACACTCACACACACTTGCGCCTGGAATTCTCTTTTCCTGACCTCTGTTTTCCTCCTTTGCCCATCCCTGACCTGGAGCCCCTCAGGGCTTGGCCTGGCGGTGAGCAGGGCCTCAGGAGGTGTCTCCTGGGCTCTGGCCTGGAGCAGCTTCCTTCGGGGCTGCCCGAGCCACACCCTGCACAGGGCATGGGGACGTTGCCTACACCGGGCTCTGCCGGCAGCGGCCAGGGGAGGTGAAGCACGGACCGCTGGAGGGGCCAGGCAGAGCAGGCCCCCCGACAGTCTGGGAGGTTGCCCGAGCACCCTGGCAATGGGCAGGGCCCCTTCTGCTGGTGAGATAACTGAGGCCTGGAGGGAGGGGCAGCTCCCCAGGCCAGGGAGGCCACCAGGAGGAGGTAGCGGCTCGAAGTTGGCCCTCTGGCTGCAGAACACTTGTGGAGCCGTAGTGTCTGGGCCTGGCTCTCAGTTCCCTTTGCTGAGCTGGAGCAGCAAGGCAGCAGAGGGCTCGGTGGGGAGATGGGATGGTTGGGGTGTGTGTGTGTCTGCGCATGCTTGTCCACCTGTCTGTCTACACAGATGTCTTCAGAAAGCTGTTCCCTGTTAAAATGAAAGCAGGCAGAGTTCTCCTCAAGTTCATTCTCGCAAAATACCACACTTCAGAATTCTTGGGGACAGAGAACCCCCAAAAGCTCATGGTCTGTGGCCTCGCCAAGGGCCGCAGAATGGTGGATGCCCTGGGGTGTTCAGTGGCACAGGGCTGGGCGGGAATTAGAAAACGGGTCTACGGAGGCGCTCTCCCAGGGCGGGGGTTGATGATGGGCAGGGGTTTGAGTGTCAGTTGACAAACATGACAGCAAAAGTCTGGAGACAGAGGTGCGGTGCAGCGCAGTCGCTGGCTGTCCCGCCTTGCCAGGCACTTAAAGAACCCTGGGGATGCCAGACCTGTCGCTGCTGGGGTCCCTGTTGAGTTTCGGTCCCCTGAACACCTGCAGTCTGGTGGGCATGGCCGGCATAGACAGCCGTGGCACTTGTGAGCCGCTGGCACAGATGACACCAGAGGTGAGGTGCGAAGATGCCCACGTGTCCTTCTGTCCACTGCGTCCTGGGCACGTGGCACAGTCAGCAAGATGCTGTGTGCTGTCCTCTCGGCGTGGGAATGGATTTTTAGAAAGCAAACAGCAGCAAAGGTTCAAGCAATGGAGGGGGGCTAGGTGTGGTGGTGCCAGCCTGTAATTCTAACTGCTTGAGAGGCTGAGGCAGGAGGACCACAAGTTTGAGCCCAGGCTGGGCAACTTAGTGAGACCTTGTCTTAAAATAAAGGAAAAGGGTGGAGTGTAACTCAGTGATAGAGCACTTGGTTCAGTCCCAGCCCAAATGGGGAGGAGGATGCAAATCGTGCCTGGGGCCATCCCGGATGGCTTCTGGGAGCAGGCAGTACTGGCTCCGGGAATGGACACAGCCTTGCTTACAGAGGCTGGGGGTCTGTGGCTGAGGTGACCTCTGTGGGAAGACTGTGGGATCCAACTTTCTGCTCCCTGTCTTCTTGGCCTCAGTTTCCCCATCTTTCACAGGGAGTTAGTAACGGTTCCCATCCCTCTGAGGGGCGAACACCTCCTGTACGGGTCTTAGAGCTGGACCTGCGCTCAGCAGGCCTGGCTCCCACACAGGCGGAGGCTGAGGCTGTGGGCGGCAACCGGGGCGCGCCGAAGCCGGTGTCTGGGCTCCCCACCCCCACCCTCCCTGACTAAGGAGGTCAGAGGTGCCACACCCCTCCCAGCGGGGGACTTTGCCGGGACTTCAATCGTCAATCGCTGTGGTTAACCGAGTCCCTTGCTCTAAATTAGAATGACAGCAGCAGCTGGCGTTCACTGAGCACTTACTGCGTGCTACGGCTCCTACCCGGAACTTCGCGCCCCGGCCCTGACTGCCCCAGCAGCCGCGGGCTACTGTCTGCTCCCCACTTCGCGACAGCGCCGCTTAGCGAAGGCTGCAGTACAGTTTTTCTCTGCAGCAGAAACCTTCGTTTGAATTCCATCTTTGCCCGGGCTAGAATTTTATGATAGTGTAGGCTTCCGGTTAAATCTGAGGTGGGCCAGGCTGAGCCAGGACTTCCCGCTGCCTAGCGCATCCAGGGCGACTTTGCTGTGATGCTTTCACTTTGCTGTAAGGCTAGGTGGTGCAAGCCCACTGCAAACCGAGCCGCGTGTGTGTCCCACGTGTGATACCTAAGGTCTCAGAGAGGTGAGTTGGGTTGCCCACGGTCACACAGCTCCTCAGGGACAGGGCTAGGACGGAACTGGTTTGATGGGAGCCCCTCGGTCAGACCTGCAGTGCAGCCTGGGGCCCCTCCGTCCTGCCGGAGGGATCAGCGCTTCCCTTCACTGGCAGTGATGTAGCCCAAACCCTGAGAACCTCAGGCCTTGGGGCTCTAAGGGTCTAAGACCTGTCATGCTGGGCTTAGGGTCATAAGGGCGCCATTTCTTTTTTTACATTTTATTTTGAGACGAGGTCTCCTCACTTGCCTAGACTAGACTAGTCCGGAGTTTGCAGTCCTCCTGCCTCAGCCTCCCAAAGACCTGGGTTTTGCCCGGCCTGGCCCTAAGGGTTTATTTATTTATTTGTTTGTTTGTTTGTTTATTTATTGTGGTACTGGGGATTGAAGCTAAGGCCTTCACCCTGAGCAACGTCTAAAACCCTTTATTTATTTATTTATTTATTTATCTATTTTTGAGACAGGGTCTCATTAGGTTGCTAAATTACACAGGCTGGGGGTCAAACTAGCAATCTTCCTGCTTCAGCCTCCCAGACTGCTGAGATTACAGATGTGTGCCCTGGGCTTGCTTGTTTGCTTGCTTT